TACTCTACTCTCTCTCTCTCTCTCTCTCTCTCTCTCTCTCTCTCTCTCTCTCTCTCTCTCTCTCTCTCTCTCTCTCTCTATTCCGCTAGAAACTATGAATGTTTTTGATTAATTGGATAATAGCGAAATAGTCATAGATATTTATAACAAAATATAATAGTTTATAAATTATCGGTTTTTAGAAGAATTATGCTTAATTCAATTTAAAAATTGGTCTTAAATTCGAGTTAAGATTAAATTTTGTTTAATCTATTTTTTAATTATTTTATTTTCTTTTAAATAAATTATATTATGTTAATTTATTTAAAACCCATATTTCAAATGAAATTAAATTTTCAGAAATTTTATTAATCTGTAATAGATAATTAAATTTATCTGTTTTAACTCTGTATATGTTATTAACTTAATGTAAAATAAGTCATTAATGTGATACAAATATTGATATTAAAATATTAGTAGTTTAACCTTATTTTACAAGAATTGCGATAAAGGATTAACAAATCGTATTTCCTGATATTTCTGTCTTGTTTCTATGATCTGTAATTTATCTATTCATCTATCTATTTATATGAACTATAATTATAATGATTATAATAATTATAATTATATAATTATAATGAACTATACGATTGGATTAATATACATTGTTTTGCCAATTTAAACATGTGTACTAATATTAACTTTGCATTGTACGTAATATCTATGCAATTTATTAGCAATATTATTGTATAACAAATGTAGTACATATTATTCAAGCAGGTACCAAACATTTACAAATGCTAGATCACAATATATAATCAAAATTTACGATTTTGTTGGGAACTAAAAATCGTTTATTTATTATTCGACAATATTTTATTCATGATAAATATTTATGACAATAATAATGAAATATTATTTTATTGAAATAAAGAGATTTGACATCTGCATTTCATGATGCAACAAAGAAATTGTGATGCAACAAAATGAATTTATTAGATCTAATCATTTTACAATTGGAAATCAAGATAAGAAAATTAGTGATTGAATTATAGATCTTGAATTATAGATTGAATAATCTTATATATCTTAATATCTTCATAATGTTACTTATTATTTCTGTAAGATTACAAAAAAAATGCAATAAAATGTTGGATTTGTTTCCGATTAATTTATAAAATCAATTATCAATTATTTCTTGACTTTGAACTCAATTTTTTTAATTCTCATGTTAATTAATTTATTCTTCGCGTTAGTAATCATTCGATAGTCATATAATATAATTGCCCTGTTTGCAAAATTTAAAAGATGCCGATTCAAAATTGAGTCGTACATGTCATTGCTGTCAAATGCGAACGGTCAAAGTTCGTCGCGTGTATTAATTTTGCACCGTAGCATTTCTCGTGAAGCGTCATAGTTGCTATGCAGATTGTTCCTTTAATTAAGCTAGTTGTAGCTTTCGGAGTGCAAATCTAATTAATAATTCTATACGTTCGCCTTTAAACAAATTTTAATAAAGACGCTGATGAAAAATTTGTAAAATTGTTCCAACTAATTCTGAAAAATTATGGAAATACATTTTGCAGAAGTATATTTTTACGGGACACGTGGTAAAAAATAAAAATAAAAAGAATATTTTCTATAACTTGTTTTTTAAATCACAAGCACACTGAACTTTATGTTTGTTCGTGAAGACATGCATTGCTATGAATCGTTGGCATTAACATTAATTGCCAATAATTTGTTCGTTCATTTGTCCAATTTTTTGGTCAATTTCATTCTTCCATTTATTCGCCGTAATATCAATGATATCTCGAACATTTTGATCGCCATTTCTTTAATAACGCTATTACAGCTGGCCTTGGAACGCGCTCCTATGAGCATTCTTTCTAAATCGATTCTGCAAACGCGTTCCGATTGGAATCGTCCAAGTTTCAGAAATACTCCAACAATTGCCTGCTACCTCAGAGAGGTAGACTCTTGAGGCTTTTAAATATGGTGGATACCAGCGCTACACTCCATGCGCAGCTGTGTGCAATTTTGCTTTTGCCTCCTTCTGCCTTTGCAAGGCGTAATGCTCGAAATGCATTTCGAGCTTCATTTTGAATTCAAGAATCGCTTCAACTTTAATTTACGAAAATCAACATTTCGTCGGCAATTTTTGCACCGCGCAAATTCAGAATTGTAATTTCTGATTCGACTGACATTCTCACATGGTAAATAACACCTGACTGCTATAAGTTTTATTAATCCTTTAAATAATACAATTTCTTTTAAGTCTTGTCCAGTCTAAATAAATATCTAAATAAATATCTAAATAAATATTAGAAATGTTTTCTTTACTTTCAATTTCAAGTTGAAGATTATCTTATAATTTGATCAATAAATTGATTCTATTATGCTGACGTGAATTGTAAAATATTATTTCCCTCTACGTAGTCTGCTTTAAATAATTATCACTATAAATAATTGATTTGTTGCTCTCAACATAAATGTGACATAAATGTTACTTGAACTAAAGTGGATTCCCGCAATAGATTCTATTTTAGTACTAGTACGATGCACGCGTGTATGTAGGTCATTCATACACATTGCAATATTTTAATATTTTTTTATATTATATTTTTTATATTTTTATTCTTTTCTAATGTTATAAATATTTTTGTTAAGCTAAATATTTTTAATTATGATTTATTTATTTTTTATATTATATATATATATATATATATATATATAATAATTTAATTAAAAAACTTATGAATAATATATTATAGCTTATAAATTTATAATTCATATATATCGTATCGAGAAGTGATATAATACAGAATTTCTTTAATATAATTTTTAATGTATATTTTTTTTAATTTGTAGCAGAATAATTTTAATTAAAATTATGAAGAATTGTTGAAGTATTTAGAAAAATTAATTTAATATTTTTAAATATATAAAGATACTTAATATAAGTCATACGCGCTTGTATATAATTTTTATTTTTCATCTAGATCATTTATATTTTTACTTATATTGTTTAAAGTATTGCACTTTTACTCCACATCTACATTTCAGAATATGGCATATTTTATAAATCGATAAAATTGAGATTAGCATCAATTAAAGTCTATCAGGCGTCATTTGAATAAAAATGGCTGGCGTCAAAGGCCTTTGAGTTCGAGCAAGTTCAAGAGACATCCCGGCAGTGGAAGCTTCGTATACGACAGGCCCATTAAATTTTAAATGCCCCGGAATTAAATGCCAGAGCCTGCTTACCACTTGATCCACTGGCAGGTATCGCGGTAGAAGCCTTGGCATACGAAGAAAATCTCGTTGAAGAAATAGTCGAGTGTCTCCTCTCGAAAGTCAGTAGCTTTCGAACAAAGTAGCTATTATTGAGTATAATTGCTACAATTGTTTGCAAACGCCATTGTCGTTATTTATACAAATAATAATTTGTATCCGAACTGAGCTACGTACAACAAATTTATACATCAAATTTAGCTATATTATAAATAATGGATTATTATTATTTTCAACATTGTTTTGAGATTAGTAATTGTTTCAAAAAATGTTCTTCAAAGGGAAGACAATTTAAGGTATCAAAACGATTAATTAAAACGCTCTTACAGCCTCGAAATCAATCTATCAAAGACGGCAAGTGCCTCTAAATTTCTTTCCATCCGGTACATAATAAGCGATCATCTCGAAAATTTAAAAATAGCCCGTTTCTTCTCACGAGTATAGATAGGTCGCAACCCCTCGACCCCCCCCCCTCCCCCCAGTTCGCGAACCGGCAAAGGCAGCATCGAACCGAATCCCATTTTATTCATGAAGAATATTACGTTACATATTCAGCAAGTTACTGACCGACTGTTTCAAATTTCTGCGAAACCAACCACGGGGCTTTTTGCCTCGAAAACACGGAGCGCAACGTAGTCCGATGCGGTCGGCGCAAATAAAATAAATTCTCCCCGAAAAACGAAATCCAATACGAGGTACGAAACCCGCGTTATCCCGATATCGGTATCGATCCCCCGTTGCGTTGTACATCTCTCGTTTCAATGCTGACTTCTGACGCCGCCCACGATCGCCGCCGTCGCCGCCACCGTCGCCGCCCCGGCCGGTCGCGTTCACTCAGCCGGCGTTATTATTCCGCAAGCCTGGTAATAACCAAATTAACGCTATACACGAATTTCCGATGCGGCGCACGTAGTTGTGCGCGGCTTACACCGACAGGACGACCCACAGGCGTAAGCGCCCGAAGTTCGATATCGCAAGCTCGCCTCGAGCGATCCAATGCCGGGCTTTGGTCCTCGCTGTCGCCCTCTCCGCTCTTCCGTCCTTTTCTCTCTCCCCCCTCTCTCTCTCTCTCTCTCTCTCTTCTCTCTCTCTCTCTCTCTCTCTCTCTCTCTCTCTCCCTTCTCTCTGTCTCTTTCTCTTCTCTCTCATCTATGGCAACATAGACGGTGTAAGCGAGTTTCGGTCAGCGTTCAAGGAACTCAAGGTACACTATCTACTGGCACAACTATCCGTGTGTGCCACACACGTGGAAACTCGTGTGCGACCAACGGATAAGTTCTTAACGACCCTTCACCTCGGTACCACCGCTGGTACCATCGGCGTCGCCGTGCGTCGCGCTGGTTGCATGTGCAGTGAACTGGTACTGCATGTGCAACAGCTCGTGGATTCTTAGCAAATGCATTCGGCATGAAGGTTGAAATTGATAGAAAGAGAAGATTAAAGGGAAAATATCATTTTATTTTAGGTATTCTATAAGCTTTTGATATGGTTAAAAATATAACTATACACTAAATAACACTATATAGTTTACACTATATAGAATATTTCTTTTTAATTATTTTGAACCAGACAAAGCGCTTCTTCGAGATTTTTGAATGCTGAGAACGATGCCGCAAATTTTTGTAGTATGTCAAGTTTCCAAAATAATTGAAATTTAATATGCAAAAATGGATTTTTTTACAATATCTGAAGATTTTTTTTAATGAAGGTTAACGATATTTTGAAATTTTTAATTAAAAATCATAAATGTATAATAGTATAAAAATGTATTTTATTTTGATATCTTTCGGCCATGTTTTCAAGAATTTTATAGAACAGAGGTAGCCGAACCGCGACACGTGTGCCACTAATAGCACGCAAACACATTATTAGTTGCACGCCCAAAGAAGCGCTATTAAAGCGCTTTTAAAGAAAAATTAAAAAATCAAAAATGATAATAAACTTTATTAAATAAAAGAAATCTTTTTGTTTTTAATGCAAAAGAAAAAAGTGTAAGTAAAACTACGGCTTCCTTCTTTTTTTCTACTTAATTTTGTAACAGAGTGGCATGAAGATTTCGAACATTAAAGAAAAAGACTAGCTACCTCTGATAGCATAACTATCTTAGCAAAACTCTGTATTAAAATTCTTCATAAAAAATAAGATACCAAAATAAAAATTGCATTTTATAGAGAATGGACAATACATTCATTACTTTTAATCAAAATTTCAAGATATCGTTAATTTTTTTATAAAAAAGTCTTCGAATATCGCAAAGCCATTTTTTGCATATTAAACGTTAATTATTTTGAAAACTTGATGTGAAAAATTTGGAAAAATTTGGCTTATGGCATTGTTTGCAGCATTTAAAAAACACTTTGTTTGTTTTAAAATAATTTTTTGTTGTAAACTAATGTAATCTAACTAATGTAATCTAGTGCATATTGTTGGTAGATTTCATTCAATAATCGCCCTTTGCTTTACAAGTTTCAGTAAAACCAATTTTTGATATTGTGAATACGTAAAGTATATCTTGATTTGATTGTCATATTCATTTATTTATGTAAATAAATGCAAGGAGCAAATATGCGAATCTAAAATTTTGCAAAATTGCAAATTTTTAAACAATGTTTTAATGATTTATTAGATTATTACCGCATTAAATTTTAAATTACAGATATCAGATGGCAAGCGCCAAGTTTCATTAGCATTCTATTTTCTTTTCTAATGAATAAAGCAATTTGTTATTAAATAGAATGGAAAAATTGCATATTCACGGTGTACTGTAATGAACAATTAGTTGCGTCTGATTTTGATAAAGTAGTTTAGAAATTGGAGTTGAGATATTATACACATTTATAACCATCCTTTGTTATAATATATTAATGACTTATTTATAAAAGTTTTTTCCAATTTGTTAATCTTTTTACGTACATTCGGTTAAATTTAAAATTTTATTTTTTTATTTCAAACATCTTGATAATAACTGAATAATAATAACTTGAATAAATATATAATTAATATTTAATTTAATTTTTAATTTTTATTTTTTAACAAATCTAGACAACCAATAACGCATATTGTGAGTTAATTATTTGCTTGTAACACATTTTTCACAATATTTAACAGAAAATTATAATATTAACAAAAACGATATTATCTTACACGATTATGTAACTAACTCGCGGCGTAAAACTATAAAAAAATATGATTCCTGCGATAATAAGCACACACAACGAGAATTAATTGGAAAGAGGCGAAAGAGAGGCAGCAATAAAAAAAAAAATCCCGAAATTCGATAATTTCTCGATGTCAACTTTCTGTAAAAACGGTTCGGGCAGACAACGATGTTATCTCGCGGCTTATTTGACATTCCAAGCTTGTTCCCGACAATTTTTCTAACAGAACGAACGGCTATTTCGTTACAGAACTCAACTCGACGTCGCCATCGACGAGCGAGCTCGGCGACCTCGTTGACGAGGCCGAGAGCGACGAGGCAAACGCGGACAACACGGATGACGAGGACGCGGTCGAAGACATCCTTTATATGCGTGGTGCCACCTTCACGATACATCTGGATGCCCCGGTCGAGAATTCCACCGTGAATGCGACGAAGATAAACGAGGCGAACGGCGCGGATCGGATCGAGCTGCGCGCCACGTCTCAGGTAACATTATTCGCCATATTTCCCCGGGTTAGCTTGTCGTATTGCTCCGTAAGTGTTTGCACGTTGTTCTGCGGCCATTTATTATGTAGGATTCCAAAGGAATATTCGGCGAAAAATTCCAAGTCTTTGACCTGTAAAATATAAATATTATAAAAGAATAATATAAATACGATAAGACTATATAAGAAACTTATTTATATAAATAATACTTATACAAATACCTATATAAATAATATAAATACGATAAGACCATATAAGAAATCATATCTACCATTTTATTATGCAATTTATACATCTTGTCACTACCATTCTTTGTATAATACAATAATATATATATATAAAGATGATAACATACATACATACATACATACATACATACATACATACATTAATATGTATATTAGCAACCGTAATGTGTGTGTGTGTGTGTGTGTGTGTGTGTGTGTGTGTGTGTGTGTGTGTGTGTGTGTGTGTGTATAAATGCGGTAACGACAAGATTTAAATTTTCATAATTCTATTATATTTTTTTATATAATATAGTATTCTTTATAATTGCCATGAATTAAAGGTTACTTACGTCATTAATCTCTCTTAGAACAAAATAAAAGTAAAATCTAAGAAATCGCTGGAGGTAGATATGAGTATATGTGCTTTAAGATTTGACTACGCTAACTAAACTGAACAAGTGAATATGAGTTTAAACCTAGTTCGATTGATCCAGAGCAAACGTTCGATACTAGAGGTAGTCAATATCACGCAAGAGTTTGCGCTAACTGCAAAGATTTAATTGATCAATGTGATCCACGTGCCGACGTCATTCGCACCAAATTAAATGGAGAGAATCGATCGAACATCGTCTTTGGGTTAAGCGCTCCAGAATAGAACATTCCGTAAAGGGACGTAAATGGGTATACATATCTATGTGCGAGGTATAGAAATAGCGATTACGTGAAATCGAGCACAAACCGAAATGTTCTCCAACCGAGGAATCTTCCTTTGAGTTGGAATTAATATTCGCGATATACCCAAAGGACGTAAAGTTTTGTTTGACTAGATTAAGAGTTTGATCTGACCGATTGTTGATCCTCAAGAAACTATCATAAAACTTTGTATATCTGTAAAGTCTCCGCAAAATCCCTTCAGATGTTACGCAATAAAATATTTCTCTCTTTAAATATATTAAAAATATCTTCTTTTCATGTGATAACAAAAAATTAAATTAAAGATAAAGAGAACATTAATTTAAGCTAATATTATAATTTCACTAAAATGTAAAATGCATATCAATTAATAGAGATATTATCCGAAATTATTGCAAATGAATATTAACATTTTGATTGATTATAGGGGACATCATTAAATTTTAATAAAATTGAATTGACATGTAAATTTTGACGATATTGAATTAACACATTGTTTGATAAAACCGATATAATACAAATTTTCTTTCTCTAATTTTCCTTTTCAAAAAGATAAATAAGTGTAATATTTTGTTACACTCGGCATTAAGCATGAAGTTCGCAGCTTCTAGGCCAATCTTTATTCAAAAGTCTTCTCAGATAAAAAACATGAGTCGTGCAACAGGTACTTCACATCCGCTGCAGCTTTCTTAACATGCAGCAGACTGCGCTATTATTTCAAAAAATTTCTTGGCCCCCGAATTGACAACAGCGAGCAGAGGGATCAATAAATGATGAGGCGGATGTCAGAAAATGGGTCGCCCATAAGTAATATTCCGTCTTGCTAAACTCATACTTTCCTCACATTGTTATTGCCCTGGATAAAAAAACTGGGCAAAAAATCCATACTTTCTGTAATGTACTTTTTATCTTATATCTCATACTTAATCTTATCCAATAATTTAATTATTTACTCATCTTTAGCTATCTTTTATCTATTAATCTATCCTTCTTTAAGATGTAAATTAATATTATATTTACGTTCTACAAATTACGATGATCCTTTCTAAACTTTCCTAGTTTTATAAGTTAATAACACTTTTCAATATTTATTTACACTTTATACATATTTATTTATACTTTGATTATTTTTTAGATATTTTTTTGCTTCTACTTTTTTTTAGTGATTCTGCATTGTGTTACTTGTGTGAACGTGCAAGTACACAAGTGTTGTATTTCTTGTGTGTGTATGTTGTATGATGTATGATACATAGACGTACACGAGTGTCCATACTATATTAAGCTCGGGTTCGTGGGTTTGTTAAACCCAAATGACTGTGTGGATCAGTCATCCCTGCGGGAATATTACGCTTGTTGATACAGATAGGTTAATTATGATAAATGTGGTACTTGACACTCTGCTAAATGTGGAATTACGAATATCTTTGAATAATATAATTAAGAAGCGTAAATTAACAATAATTTAGTAATATTAAAGGAATTAATTTAAGTTAAAGGAAAAGATTAGAGATAATTAGAATTATTTATGATTATATCGCAAACTTACTTTACTGACTAATCTTAAAATAACGCGCGCAACATAAATAGACGTAGAGAAAATCGCTTTCCTTTATTTGACTTATTACTCCTTCTCAACGTTAAATCCCAACTTTTATACGTGCAAATCAATACGGAGAAATCCAATATGGAATCGGTGATGACATTTTCTTATTTCCGTGGATCAATTCAGGGCCCAAATCTGGAGCAAAAACTTCCATCCACAATGGAAAGCATCGTGAGCACTGAACCAGCGTGTTCCTTGGACTGTGGACCGGCTGGAAATTGTTATATCGAGCAATCTCGCGGAGACGAAGTCGATGTGGTGATCGAAGACGACGACGACGACGACGGAACCATGGATCTCGAGGGCAATACCGTGAACTTCAGACGAAAACAAGGGACGTTCAGACAAAGATGCCAGTGTCCACTCGGAAGAGGTGGAGATCGTTGTCAGCTCGGTAAGTGAACGCACATTTCTTTACCTTATTTCGCAATTTTCACCTCTATTTCTATTTCTACGAATAATAATGTATAAAAACGAAAGATTTTCCCTCAGCTTTAAACAGGAAACCCACCTTTACGATAAAAACCTTTACAGAAAAGAAAAGAAAGACGCCGTCGTCGTCGATACCGATTTCATCGTAATTTTGCTTCGAAACTCATTTCTCCAGAAAGCGATACTTTTACAGAAAAAAAAAAAAAAATAATATTATCAGATAATAATGTTATGACGCGAAATCTCTCGGTCATTTCTTTGGACTCGGTAAGACGGAAAGAAACGCATTCGGAAAACGCGAAGTTGAGCTCGATAAACAAGCGAGATCGACGCGAAATGTCGAGTGATTCTCTTCGCGAAGGTAAACTCGAGCCGCGAGCAGGCGGACCTCCTCACTGCAACCTGGAGCGAGAGTCGAAGAATTGAAAACTTGCTCATCATCGGTCGTCCCGCTTTGTTCCGCTCCGCGCAAAACTTACGGCATCTAAAGTCGAAAGAGTACTGTTTTCGCCTCGAGGTCCCGGGAGTTCCGTGCATTCGACGCGATCAGATCTGTTTGCACCTGGTTTGCTTTACGGAAACTCCCAGGAAACTCGGTGCACGCGAGAGACGCTCTCGGTAATCTCAAACTTTTAACCCTTTGAGATGCTCGCCGCGGTGCGCACGCGCGCACGACTGTCCGGCGAATAACGTTAAATGCTCCCGAGGATCTTTGGAGACCCGCTGTCACGTCACAGAAATGTAAATTGCCGATGGCATACACACGTTGATGGTAGTCGTCTATCCATCGGCCATCTTGAAACTGAGACGACGAGGAGGAGTGAACATTATATTTATAAGTGAACGTTTATTTTCCAATCTAAATTTTTGTAAATAATTTTTGCGTTAACAAAACCAATTCGTTATCGTGAAGATTCCGGTACAAATTTTACTACTATCAGTTTTGACGTATCATATGCGGAAGCGCGGAATAATTAAATACAGCTGGCAAAATGATTCATAGCGCAGAAGAGATAACATTGCCGGAGCGATAACAAAATTTCTGGCCCATAAATTCGTTTCATTTTACGTACGAACGTAAGTCACAGGATCGCGTTATTCCCTTCCCTTTTGTAATCCGATATGGCTGACACGTTACAAATCTTGAAGACTTTAAATAGTGACAGTCGTCCAATCAATAACAGCGGCTTTCGATATTTCCGACTGCCGAATCAAGTACAGATACTTATTTGAAAAGAAGAATCAATATCTACTTCGGTATTATCAATACGAAAACCAATAGCCGGATTCATCAATATATCGACACTTTATAGACAAGAAAAATTTAAGCGAGACAATACGTAACGTCACGATATCCAGACATCTGAATGTCAGCTTTGGAAATTTCGCGTCCTTTTTTACCAGCATAACAATAAAGATTACCTCCGTAACCGAGTAATGAATATAACATATTTTCTTCGTTTTTATTAATCATCATGTATCGGTCTTCGTTTCCACTGAACGTTCGAAATGTATGGATTAAGCTACTCGATATTCGGGTTTAATCTTGCAGAGTGGTTATATTGCATCATGGGATTGCATGGGATTAAGCGGCAGAAAAATTGCGAGAGGAGATCGATGGTTCGTGGTATGAAGTATGTTTTACGCCTCGATATTTGAGTTTTGTTCTGTTCGTGCTGTTTCCGTATGTGGCGCGGATGGATGCAAAAATTATGATATAGCAAACGTTCATCTAGTTTCTCACGATAACCCGCGCGATGCAATCGCTTTAAAACAATTTAAAACAATTAAACTGAAACCATACTTTTTACTTTAGCTTTAGGTCGATTTTTAATCAACGACAACCGCATTATTTCTTGTTTAAATTGAATTTTTTATCCAAGAATGTAATAATTAAAAGAAAGCGTGACGTGAAATATATTTGAATTTTTTACGATAAAGCATTTTAAATTATTATGAATGTACAAAATGTAGTTATTACACAATGCATAATTAAAAAAAGGGAGTCGTAAAGCTAATAAATATATGCATAAACATGTTTGCTCTTATTTATTAAAGTGAATGAATCGAACAGTATGCGTATGCAAATATTATTATCAAAGTATTTGCTTATGTTTACTTTAAGTTAATTTACTATATAACTGATTACAGAAGAAAATTACAGAAAATTCAATGAAAATATACGAGTAAAAAAAGTATAACTTGTACGTGTTACGTTGTAATCTTGTACACGTTTTGTGGCTGCGTTATTGATGCCAGTCTCACGAATGATGGTGCTTACAAGCACACAACAGAAAGCAAATACTTTGTAGTAAAAGCAAAAGATTATTCATACGAAATGTCGGATATCCCTTCGCTTTATGTGTTCGGTTCATGCTTTCTACCATTGCCAAGCGCATTTGTTCCGCCTTTATTTACACGAGTCAATAACGCTTCTATGTAATACTACGCTGTAAGCAGAGTTAGACATTCAACCGATACAATGTCGACAAAATAATATATTAAAAATTACAACAAATGACCAAAAAATTAATAACACATATTGTTCATTAATAATAATTAAAAGAAAATTAAATGCTAATAATTAATAATATTATATTTGCATATTTTTTGAAAGTGTCGAAATAATGTAAACTCTACTTGATTTGTCGATCATTTTGAACAGCACTTTGTTTAAATCGATAAAATTATATTTTAAATAAGAAATTTAATTTAATAAAGAAAATAATTGAAGGAAGATTGTTCTTGTAGATTTGATATACATTCTATTCTTACGCGTATGCGATGACGATACAATGGTAATGTATTATTATTTTTTGCTTTCTGTTATTAATATTAATAATCTGCAGACAGTAACGGTGACAGTTAGCTTTTCACGACGACGCGCACAAATCAAATGTCCACAGTTTACACGACAGGCATTCTGATTGCGAATGGTACTCTACGAATTGTACTCTAAATGCATCGCGTTACGAGAGGCTTGTTTTATATTGACCTAGTACAGGATTATTCGCCACCTTGTTATTCGGCGTGGCCAAATTAAGCCTCGCTGAGCGGCTTGGGGTAAAACCACGAGGTGGGCGTTGCCTGCCAGTTAATTCCGCTTGCGAGGGTTTAAAGCAAACGCGACCTGCAAACCGAGTCGTCCTCGTTGATTCCCTGAGCAAGATCTAACGAGCTTAATTTATTTTACCAACGACGCCCCCTGCACACACCCGCGCTCTCGGCTCCGTTTATACATATAAATATTTATTATTCCAAATGCGAATACTCCCATTCTTGACAAGGAGTCCCAGCCACGAATATTTAAGCATTAAAAATATTGATCTAAGATCTCTAGAGCAAAAAGAGGAACATGACGGTACGGTGCAAATATGCGATATGTAATCAGCACAATAGATACAAGTTAATTCTAGAATATGTCTATTTTACGAATCTGTAAAATGTTTTTGTTAAAGAAATTAAGTAAAATAGATTATTAAACTTAATATTGTTATATTAAATAAAAAATTGTTATATTAAATGTTTTACTTATGGCATGTTTGTGTTTGTAAGTAAACAAAAATAGAACATATTTCATGAGAGAAAATATATTTGTAAAATAATATTTACTTTCATGATACTTTTATGAGAGACTTTTTCTACTTAAAAACAAATATGACGCATTAAATGAGATAGAAAGATTTGATTGCGCAAAAATTCAGTAAAGCTCAGTTTAAACGTCTTAGTACAGGCATAAAAATGAATTGAATACAGAATTCTTTTGTAAGCTATCTATATTATATTTTTAATTAACATAATTTAATTTCATCTTGAAAAAGTATACCAAAATTTTTTAAACGCGACTTTTTTCGTGTTCTTCAACGATTTTACAGAAATAATTCGAGAACAAATAAAGATATCAAAATTATTTTTTATTAAAGAGCATTACATTTTTTTCTACTTAAAACTACTACAGTCAATTATGTTATTTATTTATATTTTATTGTAATAAAAAGCACTTTATTTTTTTATTTTTTATTTTTTTATTTTTTTTTATTTTTCGCCGATATATTGTTAATTTTTACAGATTTTCTTTTATCCTAATTCAATATTTTATAATGGAAAACTTCCCAAATACAATGCCATTTGGCTCAATTAAATATATCAATTGGATCATTCGCAATTTTCACAAAACAAAATCTCTGTATTTGAAAGTTAAGCCGCAATTTTATGTGTTAATATTTTTTAACTTTTTAAATAATTTTTATTACTAATATATAAAAATTATTATTAATATATAAAAAGTATTAAAAAAAACCCTCAAAAAGATTTGGTATTTAATGCATTTCTATATTTTAATATATTAAGTTTACCAAGTTTTTATATCAAATCTTTCTACTTTTCTTAAATTAATTAATGTCTTTATCTTTCTTCTAATTTTTATCAAAAGAAAATCAGAATAAATTGAATGTCGAACTAAGTAATAATAATCACATTTGTAAATATGTATCATAATTAATTACGTTACGGGAATGTTCGCGCGTAGAATAAATCACACATCGCAGAATTAAGATCGACAAAACAATGGTCGGGCAGAACGAATGCTTAATAATGATAAATTTCGCGCGAATTTTTATTCAAAAATTAATGTGAAAGCGAGAGACGTAGAATGCAGAAGAATAAAGTGGAATTTCTTCTACTATTTAAACGCGAAAATAGTATCTCCGACGGCTTTAGCATGGAAACAAAAATTTAGTAGCAGCTGCTGTCGAGACGTAACTTCAGGCTGCTACATTTTAATAGTGATACATTATCCGGACTTTTAATATTACAAAGTGCAGCTCAGTAATTCCGCATCATCCGTCCGCCATCGCGAGGTGTGAGAGACGGCGGCTTTGCTGTGATTTATGTCACGGTTGAAGCTGCGCACGCGGCGCGATGAGCGGAAGAATTATTTTTTCGCAGCTGCCGCCCTTCTCT